GTCCAATAAATAAATAAAATCTTTAAAAAAAAATAAATAAAAAAAAAATAAATAAAAGATATTACCATAGTGCTGTACATAATAGCAAACTGTGCCTCTTACCCTGCAACCCTCATATTCAGCAACAGGTCGAATAAATCATGGCTTACCCAAAAGACAGAATACTATATGTAATTAAAAATCAATCACTGAAGAAAACTTAATGACAGAAAAAACAACATTACAATGTAAGTACATGGGGGGCGCCTGGGGGGCTCAGTTGGTTAAGTGACTGGCTTCGGCTCAGGTCATGATCCTGGAGTCCCGGGATCGAGTCCCGCATCGGGCTCCCTGCTTGGCAGGGAGTCTGCCTCTCCCTCTGACCCTCCCCCCTCTCATGCTCTCTGTCTCTCATTCTCTCTCTCGCAAATAAATAAATAAAATCTTAAAAAAAAAAAAAAAACAATGTAAGTACATGGAGTAGGATATAAATATTTTTTAAAGGTAAGGTGTACACATCCTCTTGTGCACAGAGAGAATGAAGAATATGTATCAATAAGTTAATAATAATAATTACTGGGTAACCCACAGAATTTAGTATTTTAAATAACTAATGTACGTACATGGTATAAAACTCAAGGCACAAAAGGATATTCAGGGAAAAGTAGGGCTTCCTCCTTCTCCTCCCAGTCTTCTACTTCCCCGCTCCGAAGGCAACTACTATTACCTGTTCTGTGAAGATGATGGTGTTAATCTTTAAACGCTGTGATAGAGTGCTTTTTCAAGACTGTTCTTTCTGTCATACTGGAACATTCATGTTATCAAATGCTGTAGATATGACAAGGCTCTTATCCCATTCATAAGTAACCCCAATATTGGTCTTGACCATGAGATACAGGAAGTAAAATTGTGTACTTTCTTTTTTAAAGAAAAAAGAGGACTTACAGGCACCAAAGAACAAACAACTACCAGATTAGAAGAGAAAGAACAAAAAGAAATCTCCATGAAACAACGAAAGGCTAGATCGTCTCTAACAGAAAGAGAACTCTGTAGGTTCCAATTTGGTCCCGAGAATAAACACACCCCTCTCTTTGATACAGTAGTGCTTTCATAGATATTCTTTCTATAGGGAGAATTCATTTTGAAGGTTTAGCTTATTCATTAAATTCAGGATTGAGTGTTCTCAGCCAGCTAGTATGTATTTGTGTGTATGAAACAAAAGGCAGCATGAGTTCCGTTCAGATGCTTACAATCTACTTTGAGGAGACAAGGTACCATGAATTCTAAAAGATGATACAAGCAAATGTCAGAATGTGGGATGCATGCTACCAAACGCTGAGGACACAACAGACACACACCCACACAAGCTTTTTACCTGAGTGGTTAAAATATCACTCTGAGAGGACAACCCTGAACAGTCTTCAGAGAGGCTTGTTTCACTCTCGTACCCGGATGCCACTTCACCTTAAATGATGACAAAAATAGCCTCAGATGTAAAAACAGACAGCACATACTGCAACTTGCTGTACCCATGTCTTCCCATTGGCAGGACAAACTTCACTTTCGGGTTATGCAAAATGATTATTACACTCCTTGTTTTGGGACACCCGGATTTCCTCTTGGAAATCATAACAACGAAAACCAGAAACAAGTCCACCAACAATTAGATCTCACGCAAAGAAGATGTGCTAGTTGGGTAAAGGACTTCTAAGGAAAGGCACCTTAGGAGGAACATGTGTAAAGTTTAAGAAGCAGTGACTTTAGTTGCACTTGGAAACTTGTAAAACGTGCTCCCCCACAAGGCATCAACAGTTAGCTCATTTCTAGAATACGGACGGGGGCAAACACAAAAACCTGGTTCCAATACCTAAGTCTGAATCCACACTCTGCTCTTCTTCGTGATTATCTTCTTCCAGGCCAAGTTCCCTTTCATCATCATCTGAAACCAGTTCCTTGTCACTCAGAACGTCCAGGTTTTCAGACTGATGCCTCACTTGTTTGGAAGGAGGATCAAACATCAAGAAAGGATCCTGGGTATTTGTATTAACAGTCAAGTCTTCCAATGCACTGCACTGTGAAGAAAATAAGCTACCAGAACACCTCGCTTCCTCACTAAGGTGATGTTCCTGGGATGCCTTTGCTGATGGCACTTGGTTACTGAGGTCACTTAAACTACTCTTCAGTGAGTCTAGGTTCTCCTCTGTTTTCTTAGACAGACCCTCTGTGGCAACAGCATTGTGACTGGTAGACTGAGAAGGTGTGTTGGTTACTTTACCAAATAGTAAGTGTTGGAAGCAGGGAAGCTCTTCCTCCTCACTAGATGTGTTCTCTTCTGAGGACTCTAATTTCCTGGCCCCTCTTTGGTGACCCTGGGCCAAGTGTGTATCGTCTAAAGGGCTAGGGCTCCTTCTGAATTCTCCTTTCTGGACACTTTTGCTAAAAACAGCAGATCTTTCCTTAATGTCACTTTCAGCAAAAAGTGACATTTTTCCCATTACTTTGTCACCATTTAATAGATCATCGGGTGTCTCCGAACAAACCTGAGAAGCACAACTACCTCCCATAGGTTGTTCGGGGTTATCTAAAATTAGACATGGAGAGAAATCTGCATTAACAGACAGAACTACGCCTTCATTTTCTCCTTGCCTTTTCATTTCCGGATGTTTACAGTTACTTACAGGAAGGCTTTGCTTATAGACTTCAGGTTGCATAAGACCTAATCTGAGCATAGCATTTAATTTAGGTCCTCGGTTTCCACCTAGCTCTGCCTGAATGTTTTCACCACTGGAACCTACTTCATTAATACTAGAGCCTACTTCATTAGTACTGGAACCTACTTCATTAACACTGCTTGAGCTGACTTCTTTAAAAGTGCTTTCTCTGATGTTATTTTGGCTAATTGTGCTCACTGTACTTTGAATGACGCTCTCATTTCCCATTGCTCTTTCAGGTGACATTGAATGTTGCTCAAACCTTTCCTCTGACGGGTTTTTCTTACATAGGGTTTTAACAGATGATCTGATGGGAGAAAGTGGTGGTATATGATAAGGGTTTTGGGAAATTCCATGGTTATATGCAATAAGGAGTTCAGTTTCCTTGCCTCTGAACTGAGATGACTGACAAAGCCTAGCACCTCCTTTTATGCTACATTTGGCATCATCGCCTGGCTTCTTAGCTCTCTGACTAACTGCAGAAAAGCCTGCAGTTGCATGAACTGCCTGCACATACTTGATTTCAGACTCTTTCTTTCCCTGATTTTCTTCTTTCTGTCCACATTCAAGAGTGACTTTTGGACTTTGTTTCCTTAAGGCCCCAGAGTGGGCACAGACCGTTGCACAGTCCTTTTCTGGATCTCCTGGATTTGAAAACAGAGCAAATGACTGACGCTTTGAAACCCTGAACATATTGCATAAATACTGCATATCAAGTTCACTCTCTTCCATTTCTATGCTTGTCTCCTGAGTGTGGTTATCTTCGCATGTCAATGGATCTGCAAAACCCTCTGTGTCATTTCTAGCATCTTTAGAACAACCGTGGATAGGTTCCTTGGGGTTTTCAATTGCTGCGCACAGACTTGCACGTTGATTTGGTGCTGTTTTTGCCTTCCTTATCAGGGTGTCAGCTCCCAGTAACGAGATACTGTCCTGAGTGCTATAATCAGTATCAGGTACCAATGAAATATTGGTACTCTCTACAGATCTTTCAGTTTGCAAACCTCGTCCTCCACTCAATAGCAGCTCTTTGGGATCTCTGGTACTATCAGACACTTGAATCGTTCCTCGGCTCTCTTCTATTTCTTCTCTTCGAAGGCTAGGGTTGACAAACTCTTGAGGTTTATTAGAACTTGAACAGTTAGGGAAAAACCCAGGTACGTTTGTTAAATTTAGCTCTGGAAAAGCATGACTGGCAAGTCTCTTATTTATCTGTTCACCTGGCTTACTACCCTTCTTGGCTCCAGTTGCAAGTTCTTTATCTTCCATGAGCTGAAGCGTTTTGCTGTGTCTGACTGGCATTTGGTCCAGATGTTGTTTCTTCATCTCTTCACTGCTAGAACAACTATCGATCTGTAGTTCGCTATGATCAGGTGGGCTTGGATTTCTATTGACTACGAATTCAAGTGCACAAGCGTGCCTGGTGGAGGACTTCCTCCTCAGCCTGTTCTTCTTAGGGGCTTTCGAACTGGAGCTATTTAATTCCAGTTCCATAGTGCTTATACTGCTGCTTATCGGTTCAGCTTTGCTTCTAAAAGCAGATTCTTTTTCCAATGATTCTGTCGGGTTAGCATTTTTCTCATTCTGAACATAATCACCTTTTGTTTCATTCTCAGGACCATTATTTGTAATATTCATCACATGACCATTTCGCTCGATTTGGTCGGTTCCCTCAACTAGCTCTTCAGGAGTCTTTGGAACAACGGCCAAATCTACTTTCTTGATAAAATCCTCAGGATGAAGGCCTGATGTAGTTCTCCTTTTACGCTTTACTTTATTCGTGAGGGGATGGGCTCGCGTTGTCTGAGGTTCTATAGCACATGCTTCTATAATTAGATCTTCATTCGTGTGGCTCACGTTAGGGAGGCTTGCCTTCCTCCGGTAGGTTTTCCCAAATATTTTATCTTCGATATTACTCTCTACTGACTTGGTGTGGACTCTTTCACTTTCACATATCAAAGCATCCTGAGGATCACTGGCCATTAAGTCTATTTTCTCAGAAGAACCAGAATATCCGTCCACTTCATTTGGAACTTCTATTGCACCAGCTACTTCAGTATTCGATTCAGATCCCCCGTCATGTGAGTCATCGGGAGTTAACATTTCATCACTTCTGGAAAACCACTCATTAACTTTCTGTATGCTACTATTCAGTGTTATCCAAGGAACATCTTGGGAATCTCTAGGACTGTCAGAGCATGGAGGTTTCTGTTTCTTCAGTTCTTTTCTCCCACACAGGGGATCAGCATTCAGAAGTACCTTTTTCTCTGTGCTGGGAGTCTGCCTATCATTACATGTTTCCTTACTTTCAGCCCATCTGCTCTGTTGGCTCCTTGCTAAGCCAGGCTGTTTGTTTTTATTACAGAATTCAGCCTTCTCTACATTCATTCTGTCTTTAGTGAGTAATAAACTGCTGTTCCCATGCCATAATGAGCTGGCATGAGTATTTGTGCCACATGGCTCCACATGCAAGTTTGAAACAGAAATACCCTGATACTTTTCTGGATGCTTCTCAGTTGCATGCTTCTCAGTGGTGGTCAAATCTTTATTACCGGATTGATGATGTTCAATATTTGTTATGTCCTCAGAAATTTCACAAGCAGCTGAAAGTATACAAAAACAACAAGGTGCTTAAAAACTGCATTATCATGAAAAAATATGTACACTTAATATGTACACTTAATACAACTTGGAAATAAAGCACCTGGCTATTTTTAGAGAAACTAACCTCAGAAACCACCAAGTATACTGAAGATGTAGCTCATGCACTTTCACAGAATTCCTATTTATCTAGATTCTCATTATTTCCACTCATGATACTTAAAACTTTAACTTCAGAATTCTCCCTGTTCATAAACCACACCTCCTATTTCCCTAACCTCTGACAGTGAACTAAAAACAGACTGGGTATCAGATATACAGTGCTCTGTTCTATCTTCCGACTCATACTCCCTATATTTAAATACCAATGTATAGGAAGGGAAAAATGAAGGGGGGGGAAATCGGAGGGGGAGATGAACCATGAGAGACTATGGACTCTGAGAAACAAACTGAGGGTTCTAGAGGGGAGGGGGGATGGGTTAGCCTGGTGGTGGGTATTCAAGAGGGCACGTACTGCATGGAGCACTGGGTGTTATATGCAAACAATGAATCACGGAACACTACATCAAAAACTAATGATGTAATGTATGGTGATTAACATAATAATTAAAAAAAATAAAAATAAAAGAATGCTAAAAAAAAAAGATGAAACACAAACACGTCAATTAAAAGTAAAAGGCAACAACCAGTTACATAGGGTACTATTATAATCACATCAGCCTTGTGCCATTGAAACAGATCAGCCTGTACCATGACATTTGAGAAAGAAGGACATTCTAACTCTGCAAAGAGATGTTGTGAATTATAAATGTCCCAAATGGTCTTCGGAATAATCTGATTACAGTACAGGATCTACCCATTCTCTCTTCAATGGCTGTTAAGTTGGGAAGACTTATCATTACCCTTTTTTGCAGAATTCAAACTGGCTTCAGCCCTGGCTCCTTGAGGGGTGATTTGTAACAACTTGTCACCTTCCACACTACAGAGAAAAGACAGAAGCCTTAATGAGAAACACTAGTTATATGCTCACGGAGCTGTCAAATAAGCAAGATCAAGTATTTTAGCTCCTCTAGGTATGGTTGCAGTAAGCTGATAAATTTGATTCACTTTTTGAAGTTTGCACTCTGCTTTAGAAACTTCTAGTCAAAATGAAATGGTCAAAGACTGAGGAAAAACAGTCACAAAAATCAGAGTAGTCGCATAGATACATTGCTTTATGGACGGGCAAAAGAGAACTAAAATTTAAATGGTAGCCAAACAATACCCAAAGATAGTAAAGGAAAAAAAAAAAACCCAACATAATTTAAAAGTATATCTCAATGAGAAAGCAAGAGCAAAGATACTTAAACAAAGGGAGCACTGGGATAGAGCAGACATTCTAATAGAACACAACGCTGCCTCTGTGCTTCTCTTCCAGCTAAAAACCATTTTCTCCCAATGAGAGATTAGGAAAAAGTCATTTGCAAACAAGATCTGACTGGCAATGGTACCACCATAGTTCAGACAAGCCATCACAGATCTAAGGGTTAAGCAATAATTCCTAAGGAAAGCAATTTGACAGGTAACCCAGTTGGGGTGGGGGGTGGCTTGTAGATTATTGTATAATTTATATAGACAAAGCTTGAGAGATAGATGGAATTAAGGAACAAAAAAAGAATTGAAAATGAAGTCCTTTAATATTTTCATGAGCCAAAATGCTACTGTGCGTGAGGAACTAAGACACAACCGTCTGCTGGAAGCAAGTCTGAGCAGAATTCTGTTATTTTATACTCTTCTGGACTCCATTAAGAGGTTTTCTCACCTATAAAAAGTAAACTACCTTTAAAGTCTGTTCCAATGCCATGATTCTAACCTAAATACCAATCCTTAATATTAATTAACTAAACACAAAAATGCCAACTACACAGACACAGGCTCTCGTTAACTCACCTGCAATAACTTGCCTTATTAACTGTATCTTCAGAAGAATCAGATCCTAAAAAAATTCCCCAGATAACAAATCAATAAAAGGATTTTTATTGAAAGAGTTAAACTCAATAAATGTACTCGTTGCACAACAGATATTCATTCAAGAAATATTACTGCACACTCACTATATATAAAATCTTCAGACATAATGAAACATATGGCAGGTCACACAGAAGTCCCAAGTCTGAATCACAGCTCTGCCACTTGCCAGCTTTGTTTTCTTGGCAAAATGTCTTAACCTCCGTGTGCCTTTTTTTGCTCATGTGTAAAATAAGTATAATAACATTAACAACCTCATGGGTTTGCCAAGGATCTTAAATGAGTTTTGCAAGTAAGGCCCACTAGTGCCTGGACCGTGGTAAGTGCTCCTAAATATTCGCTATTATAGTTATTTTGATTATTTTTATGACACACCTGTTGTCTTGGGACTTATGATCTTTAAGAGGGGAAAAGACATACAGGTAATTTCAAAGAATCTGGTAAGTGCTATGGTAGACATATGGTGGTGCTTGGGAACCTAAAGAGGGTCACTCTTTCCAATTATAAATACATTCTAAAAAATAAGACAATTAGAGAGACCTGTTTGAATGGAGCTCTGCTCTTCTTAAAAGTCTTCCTAGTCTAGTACAATGTATCCTGGATCCCTCCAAATGCTCTAGCCATCCCATCATGTTATTTCTTATCCCTACTCTCCATCTTCCCAAAGCATGTTTACACATGCTATAATCAAGACAGCCTTCCTTTGTTCTCTTTATAAAATAAGGGTCTTATTTTATAAAAAGGTGAGCACTACATCCTTTACACTATCTGTAACACACCATAAGGCTGGAAAAATAAAATTATTTTATTTCCACTTCCCAAAGTTCCCTGTCATTGTATAAATTATGAGGCTTTTGGTATAACTGTAAGACAATAATCCAGCAACTATTATTCTAAACTTACAAAATCTGTGTCTCTTACCCAATTCAATGTAGACAGACTTATTCTGAGGCTGTATCTGCTGCTTTGTCCTCAGAGATCTCACAAGTCCAAGGTCAGAGAGTTGAACACTAAGATTGGTTTCCTGCTAAGCAGTACAGTAAAGAATGATCAACTAATTATTGGCCGGTTCTGTTTCTTTTCTTGAAGAGAAACTCCAGGCCATGGACAAAACAGACCATCATAATTAGCTAAAATTTGACACCCGGAAAAAACACTTGGCAAACTACAAATCGAAATGTATATGAGTTATATGTGGTTTGAATATTTTTTCCTCTCTCTGTTGTTTTAAGCTTTTCTAAACTGAATATGTATTATCTATGTAATTTTTTGAAGAAAAGCATATTTTGAAGCTAATACTTTGTGTTATAGTATAGAAAGGGAATGAGATTCATTTAGTACACATTTCCAATCACATCTGATAACAGGGTTATGAATAAAAACCCAGCAATCCTAAAAACATTCAGTATAGGAAAGAATATTTAAAAATCCTACATTACTTTGATGAAACTTTCCTTCTTTTTGAGTTCTTCAACATCTACTGAAAAATGAATGCTGGTACGATGAGAACTATTATTTTTAAGATCTGCATTATTCATTCATATGCAAGTAACAACAGAGCAAATCACTCCATTTTCTTTGACAATTACACCTCTTAAGTTGAAGCAATTCTCAAATGGTAAAAACTGACTTTTTTCCCAGGCAACTTTTCAAAGAAAATAAATTAGAAGATACTTCCTCATGCCTGAAGAATTGCCGTGAGATGGTTATTTTAAAAATCAGCAAGCTCAAACCTTAAAGACATCAGTGACCTCATGGCTATTTTAGACAAGCATCAGAATGGATAAAGCACTAAAGCAGGGGATGGACCCAGGTCTCTCTTGCCCACACTAGGTACACGGACCTTCTCTCAGCTCTTCTAACTCTTGACCAACCACTTAATTTACTATCTTACCTTGTTTACTGCCTTTTTTTTAAAAAAGAAGTTTTTATTTTTTTAAAGATTTTATTTATTAGAGAGACAGCGATTGAGTAGGAGGGAGAGGGAAAGATAATCTGAAGCAGACTCTGCATTGAGCACAGAGCCCGATGCGCGGTTTGATCCCATGACCCCCAGATCATGACCTGAGCTGAAACCAAGAGTAGGATGCTTAACCGACTGAGCCACCCAGGTGCCCTATGTTTACTGACTTTTTACATAAATCCATGAGCATCTAGCACCTTCACTAATTCACAATGCTCAATAAAGAGATGTTACCAAAATAAATGAAAATGGCTTTACCAAGGTAGGGTTTTCAGGTTCACTCTGTCGAAGTCTTTTGGCACGGTTTCGATAGCCCATACTTTGGATAATAGAAACTTCCTCCTTTAGATGCTCAGGAGAGTTATTTTCCTTTTTTGAAAAGTTATAGCTGTTTGCAACTATGAATTACAAAGGGAAATGTTATTGTTGTAGTTAGAAACAATATAGTAACTGTATCAAAGAACCAAAAGAAATCCTGTGTATGCTCTCTCTGGTTTGTTAAGACAATGCATTAAAGCTTACCTAACATTTTTTTAATCTACCTTGGAAATTCTACTCCTAGGAAACACACAGACTGTCAAAGTTATTTCTAATCTTTTTTTCCCCCACCTCAATACTAACAAATTTGCCTATTAATACCATATTTCATTGAATCCAAGATACCAATGATGCAAGACGCACCATTATTTTCTACGCCACTTAGAGAGAAAACACACTAAATTAACAATGGCACACCACAGGTGGTAAATTGCTCCCAATTTTGGAGATGCTAAAATGTGAAAAATGTGCATCTCAGGACCTATAAAATGAGGTGTGAGACCAGCGGGAACGATTTAAAAAATAAATCACAGATAAAGAGTTAAAATTAGCATAGACCAAAAGATGCTATTGCCTATTCACAGAATAACTGTGAAAACTTCCTGAGTTTTAATGGCCAGCCGCTTGAGTGCTGGCGCCCGGGGCTATGCAACACTTACACTGCAATCCTGTGTCAAGCTCAAAAGCATGAATGATTTTCAACAGCTCTTCAACAAGTTGACTAAATCTTGTACTTTCTTGTAGGCTTCTGAAATTAAATTGTTTGAGAAACACTCAGCAAAGGATTATCAACTTCTTAAGGACACTAAAATAAGGAAAGATGCGTAGACAAAAAACAGATGTAGCAACAGTAAAAAAATTCTATTTAGAGAACAGAGCTATTAGCAGCATTAAATCAAAACACCATCAACATCAGAACAAACTGTGTGTCAGGATTGGTTGTTTTCTTTTTTTTTTTTTTGCCATTCAAGCCTACCAAAAGCCTGTTCTCTAAAATAACAGTACTGTGAATCCATAGTAGATATAAATCCACTGCATAGAGAATTTACCATTCTTAACACCGTTCGAACCCCATCCACCCAACCTCCTAATTTGAGCTCTCAGGGATTTCTGTGAAATGATGATTTTGTTACTTCAAAAGCAGATAGACTGATGTAGGAAAGATGTTAGGGCTCGAAGCCAAGAATTCTTGAGACGTCTTTGGTGCAAAAAGGTGGTTTTATTAAAGCACGGGGACTGGAACCCGTGGGCAGGAAGAGCTGCAATGGGGTCATGAGGAGTGGCCCATTATATACTTTCAAGTCGGGAGGGAGTTAGGGATAGCGTAAGTCTCTAAGGAATTTTGTAAGCAAGGTTTCCAGGACCTTGAGGGGGCTAGTTATTGTTAGGAAAAGGTCATTTACTCCTGTCTAATAAAACCTTAGTCACAGAATGGTGATTAACATAACATAATAAAATAAAAAATTAAAAAAAAAACCTTAGTCATGAGACCCTTCAGATGTATATCGGTGGGTCATACGCTTGGGGGATGATTGCCAACATTATCTTGGGGGTTAGAGATAAAGGAATTTTTATATGTTAAAGCAGACTTACAAGATCCTGGAGGGTCAGGCTATGATTGCCATTTGCCCTGGGCAAAGTGTCAACATGGAGGCAGTTGAGTCCCTAGAGGAATGTCACTCTGCCTGTTTCAAGGACTTGTCAATGGACTGTAAGTAGTAAGGAAGTTTAATAATTTTTCTTCTGCCTTTGTTTCCCACATCATAGATGATAATGTCAAAAGAGAGATTTCGATTTAGGAAAAGTTGTAGGACAATGTAATTCATTTATTCCTTTAAATATCTGAGTGACTACTATGTGCCAAACATTGAAAAAACAGCATTGACTGAGACAGAAAAAGCCAGTGCCCTAGGAGAACTTACGTCCTGGTGGGAGGGACCCACAATGTATAAACACGCTGTGTGTGTATAAATAATTACGTAGAAATAAGCGCAAGAAAGAAAAAGAAAAGCAGGACCTGGAGACAATGGGGGCAGAATGGTACAGTCCCACTTTAGATAAGACTGCACGTTTTTGCGCCATTCAGAAGCGTTAGAAAGAGGCAATGAATTGCTAATACCTTTATAAGACAGATCTACCATAAAACTTTCAAGAAAATGACTTCAGAAATAATTTACTCCGTTAGCCTAACACTCGCTTATACATTTTTCCTACTGATGAATAGTTTGAGAGGAACACCGGCTCTGTTATTAAGGAATTTCTACTTTTCCCTCTGTTGATGTGTCCAACTTCCCATCACTACCCAAATTAGATACCTTTTGGTTATATCGTTCTTACACAAAGGACACTGTGAAGGTCCTTTCCTCTGGTTGAGAAGTTTCAGCATACAAAATCTATAAATTATAAAGAACGAAAAGAACAATTCAAGTTACTTTTTTTTTTGGTAGACAGTATTCAAAAGGCAAATAGCCATGAAAAGATAATCTCACGACTGCCCTTAAGAGCCATTTTAAACGTAGGTGAATTACAACCAATGGCTTTAACTGTTTTTAGATGCTGCATAAGCAGAAAACCAAACTACATAAGCAATGATCTAAGAAAACTGAACTTACATGCATAGGGATGACTGTTATGATCAAATAAAACTAATTAAAAAGTTAATATGGCATAATATTTAATGATATATTCATAATTATTTCACATTGCATAATCAGATATAAATGGTAAATAGTTTAAGTAAAACAATTATAATTAGTTTAAAAATTCAGCACGTCACTACAAAGCTATAGTAAATCAAGACAGTGTGGTGTTGGCATAAAGACAGACCTATACATCGACAAAACAGAACTGACAGTACAGAAAAACCCATATATCTAAGGTCAGTTGATTTTAAACAATGACACCAAGATAATTAAATAGAACAAGAATAGTCTACCAACAAATAGTGTTGGGACAACCAAATGGTCACATGCAAAAAGAAGAAGCTAGAATCCTCACACAATCCAAAAAAGTTAACTCAAAATGGATCACAGAATTAAATGTGAGAACTAAAACTATAAACCTTTTGACCTTGGGTTAAGCAATGATTTCTTAAATACACAAACAACCAAAGAAAAAATAGATACATTGGTCTAAATCAAACTTAAGAACTTTTGTGCTACAAATAATACCATGAAGAAAGTGAACGGCCAGGGACACCTGGGTGGCTCAGTCGTTTAGTGTCTGCCTTCGGCTCAGATCATAATTTCACGGTCCTGGGATTGAGCCCTGTGTCAGGCTCCGTGCTCGGCGGGGAGTCTGCTCCCCCCTCTCCCTCTGCTCCTCCCCACCTCCCTGACTCATGCTTGTTTGCTCTCTCTCTCAAATAAAATCTTAAAGAAAGAAAGAAAGAAAGGGAAGGGCCAGTCCACAGAAGGGGAGAGAACATTTGCAAATCATACACCTGGTAAGAGACTTGTATCCAGAATATATAAATAACTCTTACAACTCAATAATAAACAGAGAAATAAACCAACTAAAAAATAGGCAAAGGATTTGAATTTTCTCCAAAGGAGATATACAAATGGTCAATAAGCACATAAAAAGATGCTCAATATCATTAGCCATCAGGAAAATGCAAACCAAAGCCATGATGAGATGCTACTTTACATCTACTGGGATGGCCATAATTTAAAATATGTATTGCAGAAGATGTGGAGAAACTGAAATCCTCATTCATTGCTGGTGGGAATATAAAACAATGCAGCAACTTTGGAAAACAGTTTGGCAGCTCCTCAAAATGTTAAATACAGAGTTACCATATGACTCTGGAAGTCTGCTCCTAAAGTTAATGAAAACCTAAGTCCACACAAAACTTGTACACAAATGTTCATGGCAGCACTATCCATTACAGCCAAAAAGCAGAACAATCCAAACGTCCATCAACTACTGAATGAATAGACTAAATGTGGTATATCCACACAATGGAATATTATTCAGCCATAAAAAAGAACAAAGTATTGATATGCTACAATATGAACTTTGAAAACATCATGTTCAGTGAAAGAAATCAGACACAAAAGTCATACATTACATGATTCCACTTATATGAAATATCCAGAATAGACAAATCTATAGAGACAAAAAGTAGATTTGTGGTTGCAAAACAGGAAATGGAGGGGAAATGGGGAGTAGCTGCTAATGGGTACAGGGTTTTTTTGGGGGGTGATGAAAATGTTCTAAACTTGGGGCGCCTGGATGGCTCAGTCAGTTAGATGTCTGCCTTTGGCTCAGGTCATGATCCCAGAGTCCCAGGTTCGAGCCCTGAGTCCGGCTGCTCGCTCAGTGGGGAGTCTGCTTCTCCCTCTGACCCTCCTCCCTTTCGTGCTCTCTCTCACTCTCTCTCAAATAAATAAAATCTTAAAAAAGAATTCTAAACTTAGATTGTAGTGATGGTTGCACAATTGTGAATATACTAAAAAACAACCCGAAAAAATAAAACAAAAAAAACCCCCACAACCCTGAACTATACATTTAAAATGGGTGAATTTTATAGCATATAAATTGTATTTCAATAAAAATGTTAAAAAAAAAAAGCTCAAGGCAGGGAGAAAATGTACTCATTTTCATGTTCACAGTGTGTGCTGTGTTAGCTGGCATAACCAAGTCACTCACTACAAGTCTAAGGAATGAAGAAGGTTCCACCCTTCTGGAACAGGTGGGCTTTTAGAGCATCTCTGGGTGGAGAACAATTTTGGTGGTTATCTCTGACAGCGAATATGCCTAAGAAGACATGAAGGACACATGCAACATATTCTAATAAGTCTGCTTCCTTAAAAAAAAAAAAATACTATTCCTACTGACTGGTGGTGTCTATAAAGATCAATGTTCCCTTAGGAAAGAAGACAAAAGACTCTGAGAAAAGACAGGTAGAAAGGGAAAAAGGAAAGAGAGCAGTAGAGACAGCTGTGGAGACAATCATCATAAACAGGGATTCAGTCATACCACCAATCTTTACTACATGTCCAGTACTGTTCTAGATGCAGGGGATTCAGCGGAAAAGCAAAATAAAATCCCTGCCATCATAAAGAACAGAATATTCTGGCGAGGGAGGTGACTGGGGAAGGGAGCAGGGAGCGGACATTGGCAGTGAAAAGAACCACAAAAGAAAAGAGGGAGTTGAAAAGGCGGCGGGAATGGTGAGCCAGCAGACGCAGAGAGTACTTTGAACTGACCCAGTTCTCAAACACACAGTGCCCTCTCTTATTCTACACAACAACCCTGATGTATTGTCTTCATTTTACAATACAGAGGGCCCCAGGGATGGTCAAGGAGACTAGAGTCCTTCTTCACCTACACAGATGCTCCATGACCATGCTGTACTCAACAACAGTTCTATAGTGTAGGGGACAGGGGTGTCAAAAAGCTACCTGCATTGTATATAATCCCCTTTAAAGAGCCACAGACGAGGCTACCACTCCTTGAGAAGACGCAAATCCTACCTATACTATACCATAATGGCCCTAGGAGGCATCAGTGCATTACACTGGCAAATGGTATAATTACACATTTCATAGGAGGGATAGGGAGGGAATCTCCTGAACAGAGCACTGCAACATATAGTAGCTAAGCCACAGAGTGACAAGCTACATTACAGAGTGTTGTAGCCCGTACAATAATTACACAAATAATGCAGGGGAGCTAGGTAAGTAGAAATCAACCAAGACATAGGTTCCAATCTTTCCTTATACTAGAAAAAGAACAGATGCCTCAAGGTTGTTAACTCAAAAGAGAAAATGAACTTGTACATGACTTGAAAAGACTAAGCTAAGGAACGTACCAACAGACCAACAGAACATTGGTATATCCTTCACGGCTGAGAAGAATTTGTTAAATTCTTTTTTAGAGCTCTGGGGAATCCATGTGATGCACCAATTAAATGAGAACACACATACATATAAGTTCTATATGAGGTTCTCAGTAAAAATGTGAGTCTTCTTTTTCTTAAGATTGTATTTTTTTTTAAAGATTTTATTTATTTATTTGTGAGAGAGAGAGAGAGAGCACGAGCAGGGGGAGCAGCAGGCAGAGGGAGAGGGAGAAGCAGGCTCCCCGCCGAGCAGGGAGCCCGATGTGGAACTCGATCCCAGGACCCTGGGATCATGACCTGAGCCGAAGGCAGACGCTTAACCAACTGAGCCACCCAGGAGTCCCTAAGATTGTATTTTTTAGTAATCTCCACACCCAATGTGGGGCTCAAACTTACAACCCCAAGACCAAGAGTCACGTGCTGGCCAGGCACCCCAAGTTTTCAGCCTCTTCAATTTCTAAAGCCCAGTGTTTAAGGAAAAACAATGTATTTTTTAAGCCAATGTAGTATGTTTTCTTAAGAGTGGTGTCAGATTTTTAAAGCTGATAAGAAACAGTAAAATCACAGTGACAAACTAATTTGGGGCGACTTTCAGAGTACTCATTTCTGCGCACGTCTATAATTAATAATGTTATGGAAACTCATTTAATTTTGAGCTGTTGGTCCAAATCTATCCCAGCAGGAAGCAATAAATTAATAGTTCTAAGTCTGGGTGAAATAAAGGCAGGATGACTTTTGGCTTCCTACAATTACACTGGGTGTGCCCTGGATTCCTGCCAACAGATCATGAACCAATGCAGTCCCTAGTTAAAGGAAATAAAGACCCTGAGAGCTCCATAGCTTAGCACCTCAGTGTCCATTTGTGTTGCTGGTCCCATCACACCTTGTCAGTTTTAATAACAGGGCTCTGTCTTCTCGATCAAACCTCTTATTTGTACTTAGTCCCAATGATTAAGAATCTATCTTGAGCTCTTCATCTGGAAGATAGTGCCTAGGTTCCTTGCTCAGTATCCCAGTCCTGCGGTCAAAGTTCTTGTCTCTTAGGGACAGGAATCTTTACCCTAGCCCTCAGCCTCCTATAGTTGGATCCCTGCCACATCTCTTCCCTTATAACCACCACCCTACACTTGTGTTCATTTTTGCTCCCGGACTCCTGAGAGACTATGTTCAATCTATTTGCTAGATTATCCTTGTCTTGCCTATTTCTACATCTCTGATGTACCAACCCAATCTGCTAAATTCCAGAATTCCCTGATATCATGATCTAATGTATCTGGCCATCAAACCTCCCTGACACTGACTCACCACTTACCTGGATTGCGGAGATCACAACCACAGTCAAAGTCAGACACTTAACTGACTGAGCCACCCAGGCGCCCCCCAACACAACTCCTATACATGTATGCAGTTAGTTTCTTTTCCCTGGACAGTCTACTTTCTTCTCTTCATACCTTTGCTCATATTATTTACTTTGCCTGTAATTTCCTTCTTCCACAAGCTCTCAAAGCAATGAATGTTCACAATGCAATCCCTTCTTTACTCTCTATAATATTATGTATTCATTACTCAAGGTGACAGGAAAGCATACAGTACATTTCAGAAAGATTCTCATGAAGAAACAGTGAAAGTCCCAGCATTTAAAAGGTTAATTTTCATCTATCTATAACTTTTTAAATACTGGGACTTTTATTTATTTTTTAAGAGAGAGAGCAGAGTCAGAGAGAGAGAGAGAGCATGAGTGGGGGAAGGGGCAGAGGAAGAGGGAGAAGCAGGCTCCCTACTGAGCAGGGAGCAGGACGCAGGGCTTGATCCGAGGACCCCAGGATCATGATCTGAGCTGAAGGCAGACACTTAACCGACTGAGCCACCCAGGTGTCCCAATACTTGGACTTTTAAATTTTGTTTTACAAAAGTATCTATCTCAAAGAAACCAGTTCTATACCACAATAGTTTGAGAAGCTTCCCTCCAGGGGCCACAAAACTAAAAATTCTTAAAGCAGAGTGATAAAGCTGTGCTGCCTTGGCACCTGACGGGGAGAAGGGCCTCAGGAATCAGAAGGAAAGTTGTGGGAGCAGATCTAGGACCGTGAGGTGGCATGGGAAAGGGGTGAGAGGCAGTGGGAATGGGCTCTGGATCCTTGTTGGGACAGATGAATGGGAAGAATAAGGTAGAATTCAGAGGAAGTAAGGGTCCAGCTAGCTGGTAGACCTGCGTTCGGATATCCCTCAGGAGGGAACAGGTTTCCTTCAGCTTCAACCAGGCTCATTATCCTTATCACAGAAGTCTTCATGTTTCTTAGGTTATGGAAACATTCTAAGAATCTGATCAAAATTATGGGCTTTCTTTCCCAGGAAACTGCACATGCCTATAGCTTTTAATACAATTAAATTTAAAACTGAATATAATTCTAGGACATTCATGAAAACCATTCACAGATCCCAATTTAAGAACTCCTGAATTAAAAATTCCTAAAAAAAAAAAAAAAAAGTTCCTGAGGGAGCGCCTGGCTGGTTCAGTCAGTACAGCATGCGACTCTTGATCTCAGGGTTGTAAGTTTGAGCCCCACATTGGGTGTAGAGATGGAGGAAAGAGAAAGGTAGGGGTTGGGGGTAGAAGGGAAACATGCTCTGCATCATATAACCTTTTGTGCTAGTTAAACTCATTACCATAGACATGGCTTTCATTTCCGATTAAAAATATCTAAAAACAAATTAGTTGGTATTCAGGGCCAGTCTCAGTCACAGCTTTACATCAGGGAGGAGAGAACCCCCTTGTTCCACCAAATCACCTACCAAATGTTTTGCCAAATTCTTTCACCAAGAAACATTTTCAAAAGACAAGATCCTTAAAAATGTAAATATAACTTGAATCATTGGTATGAATGAATTTCAGCCTAAATATAAACTGGTATCAGATCTTTTCCTATCTTCACAAGGATTATGAAGCACGCAAACATTGAACCTTAGAAGAGAGAAAGCAGAGTGATGAACAGAAATAACAGAAAGGAGAAACTGGGAAATTGCTTACTGCACAATTGCTTGTAACCTGCTTTCACCCAGGGACACAAAAACAAACAGCTATTTGGAATGATTTCATATCCCACTAGATAAATATGCCAACATTTTCCCAGGAACTATGGTTACAACCAACTTCCAAAGGTTTTGTAAGTACTCGAGGCAGAATGAAACAGAGTTAGATTTTTCTTTTTCACTTAACTCAAGTAGCTAAAGCTTCTATAAAGTTAGGTTATTTCCAATGTTGTGAAGAATAAGCACAAAAGCTAAACGATGGAGCCACATGAAACATTCAAACTTACTTGCAAAATATGTGATCACACTTTGTGGAAACAGGCTCTTTGATCAACTCCAGACTAGAAGGATAGGAAAAAAAAAAAAAAGAAAAGAAAGAAAGAAGGCTCAATAATTCATTTCAATATAAATAAATTCTTGGTAAAGAAGTACAACTTTAAGCTGCTGTAACTGAGTCAAGGTAAGGCTTTAAGTTCATTTAATAAGTATTTATTAAATGTCTGTTGTGCTAGGAGCCAAAAATACAACAGAGAATTATGATCCTTACCTTCCTGAGCTTTCAGCTATCAAAACAGAATATATTACTCTTTTCAATACTGTTATCTTTAGCATTTAAAAGATTGGCTGACATTACTCCATTATTTATTAGTTTTCACTGATACATTTTTCAAGCTATATTTGGGCGGAACATCCTGTATCTTAACTAAACGTTAAGCTCCATGAAGACAACAAACTTGTTGTATTTCTTTTGGATCCCCTCACAGAACTTTCTTTTTGCATGTGACTGCCTTTTTATTTTTTATTTTATTTTATTTTTTTAACATTTTATTT